CTGACTACCCCCGAATGAGTAGGTTACACCTTAGTAGTATTACAGTATTGCCCATAAAACCCTAACTAGGTAATTGGGCCCTAAACCCTAAACCCTAAACTCTAAACCCTAAACCCTAAATCCTATACAGGTCAGCTCTAGGTCTGGCCACAGTCAGGGGAGCGGCCTGCTTGAGGCCGTTGCTCCACTCCTCCTGGAAAGGAAAGCTGTGACGTAGAAATTAGGGCGTTAAGGGTGAAGGGTTTTGGGTAGAGGATTTGGGGCTTAGGGTTTAGGGGTGTACTAAGGGGGTGGCCTTTTGGAAAAGATCATGTTGATTTAGGGTTTAGGGTATAGTCATACAAAGTCCGAGGCCAGGAACGTTGCCAAGCGACATCCCTAAACCCAAGCCCAGAAGGTTTGAAAGGTAAAAGGATCTACAGAGAAGCGAGCTCTTTTCGGGCGATCTGCAAGGAAGGCATCGTGGTATCGGAGGGCTATATGGGGGCACCCAAATTTTAAAGAGAGACTCAAACAACTTTGAGGCATGTCCATCCATCAACAAATTCTCCTACATTCTGCAAGAATCGAACCCGCTGAAAATCCGAACCCGAACACCAAACCCCAAAACCCAAAACCCTAATCATTAACTAAACAACCCAAACCAAACCCTGAACCTGAGACCTCAAACCCCAGTCTGCAAAACCGTAAACCCTAGCATGTTCTCGTGTTCACAAAGATTCGACGGCCGGGTGCTTGACTCTTCGCCCTCATGCAGCAGTCTGAGCACCAATCTCAAGACTAAACGTGGCCTTGAAACATTATCTATTACAGTATGATTCCATGAGGACCACAAAGAAGTGACATTCCTAGCCACTCAGAATTCTACATGAACATTTAACCCTTAGCCTTCAATCCTAATATGAGCTGTAGTCCGAACTCCAAGTATTCCCCTGAATATACCCCATACTACTCCCCAAAATGATGTCGCTATAGAACCCCCTTTAAGGAGGAGAGTCCTCTGACATTTCGCCATCGCCGCTTTGATCCAAGACTGCCCAAGCCTGCCAAGATCTGCCTATTCTCGAAAGATGGATTCCTCTCGTTGATTTTTATATAACCCTGCTATAAAATGTACATATATATAATATACATATCCTGTATATGTTCCTTATTTAAGCTACCTGTACCAGAACATAGCTGGGACGGCACTGACCGTACATATTGGACGCCATCACCGGAGGAAGCAGAAGGCCCGCCACCGCCATCTCACCGTATCTCCAGATGAAGAAGTCGTACAACTCGCCAGTCTGCCAGGGTTTCAGAAGCCAACCACAGCCGAGAAGACTATGGTAGTTTCTCAAAATAGCGGTGCCCTCAGCATCCTATGGAACATAGAAATCATAAGGAGAGGATCCCCTTCGAGGATTGTATAGCGGCTTACTTCGACAAATGCCATTACTGCAGGAAGCTAGCTGCAAAGACATGATTTGCGTTCACCCTAGCACCATATGAGCTATAGTCTAACCTCCTGGTATCCCCGTTAGTTACCCCTAGTCGTCCCCTACATAATCTCCTATATAAGGCCCTGTAAGGAGTTTAGACTATAGCTCATACAGTATACCCCAAGGCGTATGGACCAAGCCTGTCTGTCCAACTCGCGCTTCACTGTATCCAGTTGCATCCATTCCTGGCTCAGGGTAGAGGCTTAAGGGTTTAGGGTTTAGGGTTCAGGGCTCAGGGGTGAGGGCCTGGAGGGTTAAAATCATTTTGAGATTCTGGAAGCGCGGGACGACCGCATGGATTACGTAGGCTACATAGGATAACAGGTATCCTTAAGTAGTCTGGGATTGGCCACACCTTAAAGGGATGTCTAGCGCTTGAGAACAATAACGCGTTCCATTCCTGTACACCTGGAAAATCACGAAGCCTCCATTCAACCTCAAGCCTGAGCAAAAAAGCTCACATACTTAGGCAGATCGAAGTCAGAAGCCGTCGATGTCGAGTACGCTAACGATGGACAATCAAATGAAAAACAAGAAGATGAATGGAAGCTACTATTCTTGTTTTTTAAACACCCCTTCACACTCCTTTTCTGGGAAGCTACTATTCAGGATTTGGAATTTCTATCAGGCATAGGGCTCAGGGCCTTGAGGAGGGAATGTTCGTTCCTCGCTCCAATGTCTCACATCTGCATTGACTCGCACACCGACAGGAGTGTGGAAAATGATTCTGTCTTCAGTTCACGTCATAACGGTATCACACACCAGTATGGAATTCTCTCAGACACCAAGCATCGCTTCATGATCCCTGCATAGTCCTGGCCACACAATCAATTACACACTGAGAAGATCTTGAGCCTAAGATAGCCTAAGCAGCTCAAGAAGAGGGAGCCATATTTCTGAGGCATGTCAGTATCGCTGTTGTCAACAAATTGGTGCCTCTAAGTGCCCCCGATTCAGCAAGACTCCTGTCAGGAACCCTTTGTCAACCTGTCTTCTCTAGATGGTGGCTCATCAAATCCCTCTAACCCCAAACCCTCACATTCTCAGAAACCTGCTGGGAAATCCTGGTCCTAGGAGCTTCCTAATCCTGAAATGGCCGTTCAAACACTACCAACCCCTAGACCCAAAACGTTAAACCCCAGAATCCTGCTGTAACTATCCCAATGCACGTCAGCACGTGTTCATCTGAGCCATAGTCTAAACTCCTAGCATCCCCTTTAAGAACCCCTATCGTGGTCCCCTATATAATCCCCTCTATATCCCCCCCTCCAAGGAATTTAGACTAAGGATCATCTGCTGCCTCAATCGAGATAGAGCCCTCCAGCGTGGCGTCCAGGTACCGGAAAATGGCTCGGAAGCCTGGCAGGTAAGGGGCATTAGTAAGGGTTTGGGATTTAGGGTTCCAGTTTGGGCTTTAGGGTATTTGAAGGTTGGGGTTCGGGCTAACACCGCCGCTGATTATTCCTTCTATCAGGAGCCTGCACATAGTCGCAAGAAAGACAGGGACCACAACACGTCTGAGAGTAGCCAGCAGGTACAAATAACATGCATTGGGCGCAGCTAGTCACCCTTAGTTCGACAAAACAACCGCCATCAAGATGCTCGAAATGCTTCTATACTACACTATACTATACTATACTATACTATACTATACTATACTATACTACCATATACTATAATATACCATCATATACCATAATATACTATAGTATACTACCATATACTACAATGTTCTATAGTATACTACCATATACTACAATGTTCCATAAAATACTACCATATCCTATAATGTTCTATAATATACGATTGTCGTTGAGCTGGGCAGTTTTCAAGCAACCAGCCAGGCCGGAGAGACGGTCCCGGCGGTTGTTGCCGCGAAAACGCGAATCTTCCAACCTGCATGCATGCTTCGGATGAAGCTATGCATCATAAAAAACCCGCAAGCACGACCACTCATTCTGGGAAACTTTGGGGTCCTGGATAAGAAACCCATCTCCAGAGGTTACCCAACGCACCCAGTCGAAGCGCCACAAACCGTGCCTGTCGCAGTACTCATCGAACTCCTTGAGCGTTATCAAGCCTTAGTCTATAAAACTCTGGAAAATGATTTTCATTCATTATGTTGTTTAGGCTTAGGCATTGTTTAGGGGTCAAATGTATGTCCCCAGATTTGTTTAAGTCCCGTGTTCAAGACCGACGGCTGAGGGTTGGGTGTGGAACTTGAGGTTCAGTGTTGACATGTAGCTGTGTCTAGTCAACTGCTACCACACGGTTTAGGGTTCGGGCTTAGGATCTGGGATTCTTGGTCCCAAAAAATGTCTGCCTCCAAGCAAATGGATGGCCACAGGCGTGTAGGGCGCAAGAGTCACATCTTTGCACCCGAGCGACCGCAAACCTGGGAATAGGTCCCCTTATAACACAACAATGGAGATCACCCTTAAGCCTAGACCCCAAACTCTAAAAGCCACCGAGTGATTGTCAAGATTCCAAACGGCAAAGGGCTTGGAGACCCCCCTTCACAGACAGCAGTCAACATGCCTCTTGCGGACCCCGATATGAGGAGTTCCATGAATAAGGCGCCCAAGGATAAACCCAATTACAAATTACATTACCATCCTTTTAAGGACTCTCAAACAGGGGCACCACTTTTTGTGAAACTTCCATATGCCTGAATTTGAAATCCTACAGAGTCGTACACACACCCTAAGTATACCTCTCTTACCGATTCAGCCCTTCCCCGATGCTTGCGAACACAATCAAACTAGCGTTTCCCTCATGAGAATGAAACAGATTGCAAGATTCAACAGCAGCGGAGATACTGTAGAGATCCATGCCAAACACAGCATTGACACTGCCCTTCGAGATCCAAGCCATTCCCACCACCGCCATCAATATCCCGAAATGCCTGGCTGTGAATTTCAAGGCTTAGGGCCTCTAAGCCTTGGGGTTTGAGGTTTCAGGTTAAAGGCATTGAGAGATTGGGAGTGCGAAGTTCATCGTGGTCCCTTTGTCCTCCATCCCCAAGATGAAAGCTTCGACACACGGAGGATCATCTTACTGGCATACATGCACCGCCGAGAAGCGGAGAGGGCAGGAGGATCATTTTGCGCGGCCAGCGCGGCGGAGTATCTAATCAAATTCCCGCGAATGAAGTTATACAATTATATCGCTCCCGGCGGAGGAGCTTCGCGAAGCCAGCGCCACTAGGCTAGGGGAATAATTTCATGCCGTTCGGCGAAACTTTGTCACGCAGTTGTAGACAAGAGATACAAATATCTTGAAACTGACTGACAATATGCAACTCGCACACGAAAAATGTGCTCAAAGCAGAACTAGGTATGTGAAAGGGGCATGGAAGTACAACGCAGATCTGCATCTGGTGTTATGTGCTAGAATGGTGTCAAGACCTATATGATAGTTTCCCAAAATAAGGGGACCCGAATATAGACCCCAATATACTATAACCCTTATTATGGGGAACCCCAAAAAGGCACCCCTAATTTTAGGAAACTCCCATATCCCTAGTTCCTAAACCCTAAATAGTAGTTTCCATTTTCTTTTCCATTATCCCTGTATTCCTTATATAACCCCTATATCCCCCTTTGGTACCCATAACAGGGTCCTAATATTGGGAGTTGGGGTTACACGTGAACTAAACCCCAACCCTGCTCTGGCATCAAAACACTGAACCCTCAAATTTTGTTGATTGAACGGCAACCTCAAAATACTAAATCAAGTGCTGAGTACCTTTTGCTGCTGCAAGGGATTTAGGTTTAAGGGCCTAGGGTTTAGGGTGAGGGTTTAGGGTTCATATCTAGTTTCAGGGTTGAGGCTTTTGGGTTTGAGGTTTGAGGTTGGACCTCCTGCCACGACCACATACTTCACGGGAACCCCAAGGAGATTCTAGGACTTCAGATCTTCCAGTCCCCATGAGCTTTAACAACCCCTATAATACCCCCCTTTCACCCCGTAGATATTCCCCTATATAACCCCCCTTTGAGGAGTTAAGACTCTAGCGAAAAGCTACCAGAGTTCCGCTTGCACCTCCTCGAGGTTGTCGTTGTACTTCTCCCGCATTGCCTTGCAGACCGCAAGATCGGGATATAGTGCCCCTTAAGTAGATAGAATATGGGGTATATGGGGATCTTATTATAATATACCCAAAGCCATATTCTATCTACTTCAGGGTGACTATAGATGCAGAAGCAACTTGATGCATCGTAGCTAGATGAGCCACAGTCCAAGTTTCCTACATAGATTAATGGACATGGGTTCCTTCACGTTCACAGTCGCTCATATCCATCAAAGCCCAGATATTCAGAATCCATCTCTTTGGCAACATTTCTCGAAACCGTTGTTGTTCTAGCAGCTGCATCGCTTTTTCACGCGCCGAAAGACTTCCCCCGCTGGCTATTCTTGCAAAATCCATACGCACATCCCTGTCCCCTAAACCCTACACCCTTAGTCGCTATCCTCCAAAAAGCGGATGATGTCCAGGCTGAAGTCAGACAAGGTTGACCACCACGACACATCCTGACAGGTGCAAATCCTTTCTTCACTGCTCTACACTGGATAATGGTGACTGGGATCTGTATTGGGGCTGTGGGGTTTACGGTTTAGGGTTTTTGGGGTGGCTGTATTGGGGGTGACCATGTATGGAAAGCCCCAAATAAGCCCAAGAGAGATCTTTCGATAAATCTAACAATTCACCAAACAAAGCCAGGAGTCACAAGTACCCAAAATGCACGTTCGCCGTTGTGTCTGGAGAAACTCCAAACCCTTACACTGCAAGCCCTCAACCCAAAAGCCCTAAAGCCCCAAACCGTTACTCTCAAACCTTCAACCGCTGCAAGTCCCTACTTGGGCCCTACTTGAAGGTTCATGGGACTTAGTCACCAATTTCACTGGGGTGATAACTTTACTTGTAATCCCCTTCTTAGACTTGTGTAGGGTGCCCCCATCCCAGGAACCTTCAAGTAGGGAACTTGGGGCCCCCTGTCTGCAGAAGCTCTCACATGGTCTGCCGCAGGGCCTCTTGCTTAAGGGCTGGCACCTTCCATCGCCTTAGGGCTCAGAATTGTTTGAAGGGTTTAAGGTCTAGGGTTTAGGGCTTAGGGTTGGTGGAGTTAGGGTTGAAGAGGGACCTGTAGTATGATGGGGACCCTTGCAGTTGTATTGGCGAAGGTATAAGGACCATCTGGGAATAGAGGGAGGCTTTACAATGTGTACACATGGTGAACGGAAGAAATAAGCGGCACCCAAAATTCAGGGTTCCCTTCTCGGGATCCCTACAACAACGATTAGAGAGTGGGTTGATATTTCAAAGCAAAGCGCTGGTCTTGGACACTCCACAATTGAGAATTGGGACTAGGTGAAGATATTGGAGCTTAAGGCTTGTAAACAGAATGTAAGCAGTACTTTCAGGACTCACGGACTAGGGCTCCGGGTATGAGGATTGGAACTTTGGGGGTCTGATTAAGGATTGAAGATTCAGAGATAATGGTAGACATCTCTAAACAAATGAACACAAACTTGAGTCGAGCCAATTTGGGAGATACCTTGACCCCTTCCAACTAAGCCACACATCCTTATACTCCCTGTATTCCCTAGATTCCCTCACTTCCTATATTCCCTATATATATATATATATATATATATGTTCCTCATGTACCCTATATTTTCCCTATATCTACTCTCCGTAACCCCTGTAGCACCCCTAACTTGACATAAGACACTCCAAAGCATAAAACTCTAAACCCTAACGTCAAAGCCCAAAACCAGAAAACCCGAAGACCCTAGACACCCTAAACCACGAAAACCCTAAACCCGTAAACCCCTAGACCCCCAAAACTCTTACCAATCCTTCAACAAGACCCTCCGGAACATCTCAGGCACGAGCCCGAAGCCAGCGAGAAAATCCATCCGAGTCTTCATATTGCGCTTCTGAGGGGCCAGGAAAGCGGCCAGGTGGAGTGGGTACAGGGTTCAGGCAGTTTAGGGTTTTATGGTTTGGGGTTTAGGGTTTTAGGGTTTAGGGTTTAGGGTTCAGGAGGGTTACGGGTTTAGAGTTGAGGGCTTACACTTTGGGTTTAAGAGGTTGTGGGGTTTAGGGCTTAGGGCTTACACTTTGGGCTTAGGAGAGTGTAGGGCGGCAACTTCAGCCCTACAGTTGAGCACGTATCCCTGAACCCCCTGACCCTATACCCCTCAACCCTTTACACCCTACATCCCTCCTAAATCGTAAACCCTAAACCCCTTCAACCCCACAGGAAGCAGAGCCCACCCCATGCCTCTGGGGCTACAAAATATTTCGCTGAGAAGGTTCCGGCCTCAGCGCAGTCATCTCCAGGGCTCGGGGATGATGGTTTACCGTTCGGATGGTTTGGGGCTTAGGCTTTGGGGTCTGGGGTTTAAGGTTTGGAGGGTTTGGGTTTAGGGTAGCAGGTTGGGGAGTAAGGATTTGAAGCGCAGGGTTGGGGTCATCTGGAAGAAACAGAAGCCAGTAGTACATTCCCAGGACCCGAAATCCTAGAAGTTCTGTTCACCTAAGCGAACCATCTGGCTTGGAGCACGCTTTACTGCCTTGCATTTAGGACTTTCTCAGGAAAAGGGTAACGGACCTTGCGGACGTATAGGGGTTACGAAGGAGTTGTCGGGTCTGCCCTCAGGACATTATGCAGAAAGGAATTTGAGAAGCTGCAATGTGAGTAGTTGTCGTAGTTGTCAACATGATTGCTGTTTGGGAACGCTTGTTCATACAAGTCTCAGGGGGCTCCATGCACACCAGGACCATAACAAGGGTCGGACTTGGCTGTTCGTGAGCAGGGCTGAACACAAAAACTACAGCATGATGCTTGCAGCTATCGAGCAACAAATCTACGACAGCAGTTATGAAGATGGTGATGAGAATAGTTACACAAAAGATGCATGAACAAATCTGGTCTGCATCTTGTGATTTTCTGACGTTCATAGGGGTTAGAACTGGTTCCTTGTTTTGGGCGTCTTCGGAAGACTCAATACAAGTCCTACAAATAGAAATGACAGTTTTACTTGTGTTCAGCGATATCCAAGAAGACCCAAGAGTGCGGTACCAACAGCCCACTTCAACCAGCCCCGTGGAAGGCTTATCACATGCCCTCTTTTGATGCGAAGGTCGTCCTCATGAGGGTGTCTTGTGGCCCCTACATAACCCCTACATGGTACTAGTATCTATCTTCTTGTCCAATATCCCCTTGATATAACCCTTATAAACCCTAATCCCTATATAGTAGTTTCCTTTTATCTTCCATTGTCCCACTATATCTTAGTTCTGGGCCGGCATGAGCTCATCTCAGAATCCTGAAACCTGAAGGTCCGCCCCCCTTCATGGTAAGTGTAAGGCCCTGGGTAGATCGGAGAATCTTCCCCATGCACGCGGGACACCTGCGGCCAGCGGAGCGCAGAACGTAGTGTAAGATTCCGCGTCTGTGTTGAGAAGGGGACCGACATGTGAACAAATCCTGCCTGTAGGATACTGTGCAAAAGGCCGAATAGATGTAAACTCCACAAATTATATATATATATATATTGCCAATCTTGTGCTCTTGGGGGGCTGCTACTTTGGGCAGCTCTTCCCGAGCAGGCTGATCCCAGTTGCCATCCGCCTGTGACCAACTTGTCCTCCGTTCCGTCCTGCTCAAAACTTACAGAACCCAGTTTCAAGGTTAGAGGGTTATGGATGTAGGGTTGAGAGTTGAGGGTGTAGGGTTTGAGGTTAGGGTTTGGATATCAGTCTTGATACAGAGATGAGCTGCCCTCCACACAAAGTTTGCGACTTCGGACTCCCGTTGATGATGCCCAAAAACCCATCAGAGTCCCTGTGGTAGGGCTTCTGCAGGTGAAAAGTCCCCGCCCTTTCGACGCACATCCCTCAGAACAAAGGTCCAAAAACATTTATTGTTGCAAATGCGGTCTTCAGCAGTAGGGACAGAGGATTCTGCTATCCCACACCGGTTTGCATGGCACTGTGGCATGGCACTGGCAGGCGTCCTCCCTGATGTACCTGGGCTCCAGCAGCAAGGCACCCTCCTTCTGCATCAACCTCACAACACGCGGTTAATGGTTAAGGCTTTAGGGCTTAGGGCGTGGGGTTTAGGGCTTAGGGCATAAGGTTTAGGGCTTAGGGTTTAGGGCTTAGGGTTTAGGGCTTAGGGTTTAGGGCTTAGGGCGTAGGGTTTCGGGCTTAGGGCTTAGGGTTGACGGCTTAGGCTTATGCACTAGCCAGTGAGGGAGTGGAAGTAGAAAATTGCATAGGGATTGTACTGGGAACGTGAAAAGCAACCCCTCGCCCCCAACATCACAGGAAGCCCTAGACCCAAAACCCTGAACCCTGAACCCTAAACCCTGAACTCTAAATTTATCCCTGCGCCCTGAACCCAAGACCCTAAACCCTGAAGCCTAAACCCTAAACCCTGAACCCTAAATCCCACGCCCTGACCCCTAAACTCTAGGTGATGATTCTCAGGCCAAGGCATTACCAGCAGGTTAACGGCCAGCTTCTCGTCGTGGATTGAGAAATCCAGGTCAAGTTGGGTCTAGCAACCAGGACCAGCTGATGGGCTTGGCTTGTACACGGTTTAGGGTTCGGGGTTTAGAGTTGAGACTACACCTGGACACTGAGATATGGCAAAATGGAGGAAGCACGTGTCCCCTAAACCCTAAATCCTAAACCGCAACAAGATTCAGAATAACATCATCGCCACCACGACCACCAGCAATAGCAGCAGTTTCAACAAGAACAAAGAATCTGCTAATAAGGTTTAGGGAGCGGAGGGTTTAGGGTTTAGGGTCCGAAGCCCTAAACCCAGACCTTACTTTTAGGAACCCTGGAAATTAGGCAAGACATTAAAAACCCCTCGTAGGCCCACTATAATCCTACTGTAACCCTTTCTCAGGTGATGCCATCACCTGTAACTCCAAGGTCACTCAAAGTAGACCACATACCTGAATGTCGGAGCCTAAATAATTACCAACATGATTTTGAGGTCTGTGTGAAGTACCTATATCATCATTGTACAAGCAACCTAGGATCGTAATATCGGGAATTATGCGTGTTTAAGGCCCTGTAGTAAAGAACCTAGACTCTAGCTAACTCTCAGCCCTAATTCCTAATCTCTTCACCCTAGCTACCCTAAACTCCAAACCCAGAACCCTAAACCCTGAACCCTAAACCCTGAGACCCAAACCCTGCACCCTAAACCTGAACTCTCAAGACAGCTCTGGAAAGGCCCGCCTGCTCAGGCTGGATGTAGGGAAAGAACTTAACAGGTCCGAGCTTGTTCCTCGGCGGAATACAGGCTGCATGGTTTAGGCCTTAGGGTTTAGGGATATTACCGCGAGAGTGGAGAATCGAATGGATAAGAAAGTGAAACATGAAATGGAACTTAGGCCTATATAGGGGTTTTGGTAGAGTCCGTAAATTGGCGGGGGGCCCTTGATATACTCCAATATCCTAATTCTTATTGTAGGGAATCCCCTTTTCGGTAAGTTGTATTCTAGGTTTTCAGAACGGGGGTAGAATTCTGGGGTCTATACTGAGTCCCCCTATCCATGAAACTACCACATAGATGATTGTGTAAATGTAAGTTGTGCTTGAATATGCAGGGATTGTAAGTATAGCTGGTTAAGAACCAATAAGCGATTTTCAATCTACCTTGGGCTTATCCTTGGAGCATCTCTCAAAGGTTCCCCTCGCCTAATCCCAGAATGCCCGACACAAACATGGTACCCCATGCACTGGCAACTCCAAAACTTATGGGTTTGGTGTTTATTTGGGGCTGAGTCTACGAACCATTCCAGAACCTTCGCGCATGTAATTTGGGAGCTACCCCAAGAAGCTCACACCGGTCTTGTCGGGCTTCTTTGGCAGCTCCGCATATTTCCAGGATCTTGACGGGTATAGACCCTAGCACCATGACCCCTCAATCTCAGAGCCTGAAGCCATTACACTCGTTAAGTTCAAAACCTACACCATATTTGGATGGTCAGGGGATTTTATAGCTATACCTATACACGAGAAAGATACTAGCCATAATTGTCTCCCTGACCCTAAACCCTGAATGATATCAGTAGTTTCCATGTTCTTTTCCATTTCCCCATACATCCCTATGCGACCCAATACATGCCTCTACATCCCTTTACATCCCTACGCATCCCTATACATCCCTAGAAATCCCTAAATCCCCCCATGTGTCGGCAATTATAGACCCCAAAGCAAGCCATGCGAACAGCTGTGGACCCGAGGCCCCTGCAGAAGCTGAGCATATTCCGCATCTGCGTGTTGCTCAAACATGGGGCGTAGGGTTTAGGGTTTGGGGTACCCTTGGGCACCCTACTTGGAGGGACACTGGACTCACTAGTGGGTTAGGGGAAGAAGGGGTTCTTCGGCGGATACAATAAATCACCTACTTTCAGGATCCCTCAAAGTAGTGATATTTAGGCATTCTGAGAGGATTTGGGGGTCAATGCTAAGAAGTGTATACGGATGTGTGGGGGGGAGGGGGGAAATTCGCGGGAGATGACAATTCCCAGGCCCTTCGGTTGCAAGCTCTCACCTACCTTCTGGATTGGGACATCTACACCATGCACTCATGCAAGACACAAAGAATCCTACAAAGGCTGGTACAAGCTCTGCATAATGTCAAAAATCTGGTCTATGGACACGATGGCTCCCAGCAATTGGAGTACACAAAGAAACAGAGACAATTCTGGAAACCTCCACATGAGTAGTTCTTCAAATTTGTGCCTCCCTTCTTACCGCCAACAATAACAAGGCTGGAGTCTTTGCTGGCGGAGGCCGCAATTTTCTGAAATTCCAGACCCTATGTGCACCTACAATCCTCATGATGACCCTCGGCAATTAAACCCCTGTATGGCTCTTGTCACCCCCAAAAAGGTCTCATGATTTCGAGAAGTCGCCAACTTATCCACCGGGACCCTGGCTGGAAAAGCGCGCTCTGCAGACTTTCACGTTCCAAATGTCCGTCAGCCTGAAGCAAGCAGGACTGCAGCGAGCCCGAAAGAAAAAGTGCCAGGGGTTTAGGGTTTAAGGTTTAGGGTCTCATGGCACTATATTGGAACTTTTTTTCACCAAACAGGAATAGCAGCGACGAAGACACACCCACAGATTTTGAGAATGTGAAGACTACGAGCAGAATCCTGCTGGCTCGCATCATGACGTATGCCCTGCTGCTCTTAGAGAAGTTACTGACCATGACCATGTACATATGTCCATGTTGGTTTCCCAAAATTAGGGTACCATTGTGGACGTCCCGATACTAAGGATTTGAATGTTTGGGGTTCTAGACGGGGTTCTAGATTAGCCCATTAGGGTCCCCCTATTTAGGGAAACTACCTTTGATATGATATGAGCAGCACCATTCTTACCCTTCAATGGGCACTCAACAAGAGCGTTCCCTGCTTGGGTGCTGATTTTAATGTCTGTTACGGTACCGAATGTATCTTGTAAAGGGCAAGAACCATTCACTGAAATCGAAACGAACCAGAAAAACAGGCTGCCTCATCAGTAGGACGTCAAACCAAGCTCCAAAACTCGTGAAGCAACCACATGTAGCTACATAGTTCCCACCTGCAGCCAATCTAGTTGCCCTCGACCCTGAACTTGACGCCCTGAACGCCTAAGCCAGAAGCTCTAAATCTCCATGTGCAACTGTCCCTGCTGCAGGGCATGCCTGTAGTAGAAGACGTGGAAAGCATGCATTCGCACCTGTGCGGTGCTCACGGGTTCAGGTTTACTAACGCAGAAGCTCGTCTCACTGCCCAGGGTTTAGGATGTCGGGTTTGTTTACCCCTTTTTGCTTAGTAGGATTCAGTCGAGTCCAGGTCGGGCCAACCCACCCAAACCAAAAAGCTTCGCAGATAGTGGTTCCCAAGCAGGGACCGGACCTTCAGAAGACGAAGGCCACCACTGGTGCGTAAAAAGACCCCTCAGAGCTCTGCAGGAAAGCTACAACATCCAAATCAGCTAACCCCTCACCAGTCTCTAAACCGTAAATCACAAACCTTAATCCTGCACTGGCCAACCCGCCTCCGCATCATAGATCACTCCGAGAAGCCTGCCAAGCAGCGAGTCTGCATGCAACAGATACGGACTACGCCCTTCGCTTCGGGCTTCAAAATTTAGGATTGAGGATTTTGGTTTTACGGTGTGAGGCTGAGGGTTTAGACATATCCTTCAAATGGTCTTCCACTAGGCGGTCCCCTTTCTTGTGGGCTGTTGAGACAGAAACTTGACACAATTCCAAGCTTCCGGAGGAGAGGTGATGAGCCCATATGTAGGAGCTTCTCAAAATCAACCCTGAAAGATCCATTGTGGGGCCCCTGAACTCCCCCCTATAATCCTTATTCTCTCTGCGGTTCCAAGGTACAAATGCTTTAAAAAAACATGCTTAGAATAACATTCAGCTGAGGCAATCGCCGCCGCAGCTGCGATGACGTCAAATAGGCATACGGCGCAACAGCTCGAAGAGCTTCAAACCTGACAGCGGGTGTTCTGATTTTGGGTTTTGGGTCTTAGGGTGGAGGCCACCTTTCTGCTGGATGTGCGAGGGATCCTGAATAGGGACCCCTGCAGCTAAAAAGATCTGGGGATACCTGGCTACATGGGGGGTGTATAAGAACCGTATAATTAAGAAATTTATACGGTAATGGGAGCAGGGATCCCTTCTAGAGGTCCCTCAAAGAGCCTTGAGCCTGGATGTAACTAGCAAGCTGAACTAAGCCTTGTGCACCCATAGCCCAACGCCCCCGACCCTAAACCGTTGCCTGCCTGAACAGGGTCAGCTGTTCCCGTGACACATACCTAAATAGACATTTCAAGAACAGAAGATATAATTACTATACTATTACTATATTATTGCTATATTATTGTTATATTATTACTATATTTTGACTATACTATTACTATATTGCTACCATATTATTTGAACTCCCTCTCATCTTCATCACGCTGCCTAACTAGAACAAGCAGAAGGAACTCTCAAAAGGCCAGTAGAGAATAGCATGGACCTAGCTCCACACTCTTCCACTGGATTTCTCCACAATCCCAGCGTTGATGCAAGGAAGGAGTCACCGTCTCCTCCTTTTGCCTAAACCGTACACCCTGAACTCTAAACTAACCCAAAAACTGACAGCCTAAACCAAACCTACCTCCTAACCCCGAAACTGCTCTGAACCTTGCAAGCTAAACGTAAATTACTGTGGTTACTAAACGTCCTGCATGACCTTAATATACTGTAGCGATAATTCCCAGCATATCACATTCTTAGAGTCATGCCGAGTCATGCCCCTAAACCCCAAACCCTAAACCCCAAAACCTCAACCCTAAACCCTACACCCCTAAACCCCAAAGCCTAAAGACTAAATCCTAAACCCTAAACCTTAGCTAAATTAAGGATCACTCCAAAACGGGGAGCCCATGTGCTGGGCTGCCAGCTGCTGCCATGCCCGACAGCCAGACTGCAGCCTCAGAGAGGTAGGATTTAGGTTGGGTACTGCCCCCCCTCAGTAACAGTTGGATAATAATTTTACTATGGTTACATATAGCCATAGGACCCCTGATATAGACTGTTACTGGGTGGGGGCAGTACCCAAGATTTAGGGTTTGGGGCTTAGTTTCGGGATTGTTTAGGGCTTAGGGTTTAGGGTTGTTTTTTCAACCCTAGGGTTTAGGGCTTAGGGTTCAGGGTTTAAGGCTTCGTGTTTGGGGTTTGGGGTGGAGGGTGTTTTGTTGACACCCCTTCGCAAAATTGAAACCCTAAACCCTAAACCCTAAACCCTAAAAGGAGTCAGAGAGCGCTTCGAGCTTCATTGTGACCCTCACCGTAAGGCTTGTGCCTTTTAAGCTTGGGTTTAAGGCTCAGAGTGTGAGATTCGTGGTGTAGGGACGCAGGTTTTAGGTCGGAAGCTGAGGGTTCAGGGCTTGGGATTCAGTGCTGGATTTTCAAGGGAGTTGCTCACAGCAGTTGGGCCCTTCCATATAATCACAGGACTTGATACAAGACACCATTTGTAGGGTTGCAGTTGAGGGGACTTGGACGTGTGACATAAAATCTACCACAGGAACTGTGATCAGCAGCCTCATTTGTCTCAGACCCACTCCCTTTGGCAGACCGTCTCCCCGAAAACACCCTTCTCCCCGAATCTACCATGCGTGGACTGGTTGAGGTCTGGGCAAGTGCTGGAAGAACTTCTCAAAGACCGGATCTGTCATCTGGACGGTGCCTACATGGTGACATGGTGTAGGCTTCAGGACATAAGGTTTAAGCTTTGCGTACCATCTTGTAGTACACTTCTTGCGAACCTTCCGTCAGCATTCTCGGACTTGCTTAGAAAACTCCAACGGGATATTGGTAGTAAACTCTTCTGGCATTTCAAGTGACTGTGCATCCACGAAGTTGTTGGTTTTGGTCATTGGGTTCAGGGCTGTTTCGAAGTTTGGGCTCGGTATTCCGCACAGCAATTAGAAAGCTTGACTTACCCTGGAAGACTCCCAGAGGGCCATGACGTGACATAAGCGGCCCAGGGAGAAGCCGCAATAACACTTATCAAAAGGATTTCACCAGCTTGAAGCTAGCTGCACCTGGAACTGTCCGTGGACCTCCGACGTAGTCGAACCTGATGTCCAGATGCCAGGTTTCAGGAAACCGTCTTCAGGGTTGTGTCTAAGGGCTCAGAGTAGAGCTGGAAGGGGTATACAGGAGGTTGGGATGTCCAGCAACTGAAGTCCAGTTGACGATAACTGGAATTCAATGTTTCTGTAACGTGCCATGCTCAAGGAGAGCATTGAAATCCAAGGCATTGCCTTACGTTGCATAATTGTTTGTTCAATTAGGGCTTCTGGCCTACAACAGGGCGCTAGATCAGCACGGTGTGCAAGTCCCGATGATCGGGATACCTGTATCTTGATACTTCCACCAGAAGGTATTGCCAGATGGGTTCAAACAAACTCTAAACAGCGCTGAACATGGAAGAAATCCTGTTGATCCTTGTTCTGCTCTACCTTCAAGGACTTCTTGTCATGGCACAAGCACGAACCACAAAACCAGACACTGACTCCTGCTGGGAGAATATTGGAGGAGTCGAAGAACTAGGGGAATTAGTGCTTAGGGTGGCCCTCTACTAAGGATGAAGGTACTCTGAGGGGCTTCAAGGCGGATCCCTGTTTTTGGAAACCCCAGATGACTGGGTTGCTGTTAAAAAAATAAGTTAAGTTACCATAATGGGTATATATATATAGAGTATTTAAAGGATTTCCCCAGTATAGAAGCTTTAGTTAAGTTCCTTAAATCCATATATCACCCCAGGTTTGTCCATGTCATGTTGTTTGTCCATTTCATGTTCCATGTTCTTTTCCATTTGATTCTCCATTAAAAATATAACTAAACTTAAGTTCCTTAACAGCAACCCAGATGACAAATAACCAGGTGCGTGGCTCCAGGGTTCCAATCCTCAGCTGGGCTGCTTTGAAAGAATGCTGTTTCAAACGACCACATGAGCTGTAGTCCGGTCTAAACTCCTACTATCCCCCTTACTATCCCCTATAATACTCCCCTATATTATAGTCCCCTATATCACCCCACTTGCAAGAACTTAGACTCTAGCTTACTCCAGCTCACAAAACAACAGTCCTTGTTTCGTGGCTGATTGGGGGACAGGGCCTGCTCCAGAGCCACGCGGGAAAGTCTGGAGTCAGCCGAGATGAGGACTACGTTGCGGACCAGCTGAGGAAAATTTGGGGGCGTCCTGGTGTAGACCTGCTCGCCCCCCAGACACCTCCTTCCTCCGAACCAAAAAACCTTCCTCCTCAAAATGCTGATCTCTGTGGATCCTAACAGGCACGCACGTTCAGCCTTTGAGGGAGAAAGTCCTACACCCTGAGCCCGAAGCAATCGCTGCATTGTTGCCATGAGCAGAATCCACAATTCTATAAGCACGTCAGAAAATCCTACAGCTAAAGCCCGAACACCCCAAACGCTTATGCTAGGGCTGATTCGGCCTAAAACCCTCGAACCCGCTACTTTTTCTGAAAGAAGGATTGGGCCTCTGACAAAGGAAGCTCCCAGTCCACGATGGACCGGTAGAGTGGCTTTCTGCCCTCATAGCGCTCATTGCGCACCTGCGGTACCACTAGGCTTGATGGATTAGGACTCAGGGCTTAAGACCTTTCCTTTTTAAGGTCTTTCAGTTCCGGTTTTCAGGCTGAGGGTTTGGAGCTTTCCGGGCTTTTCCTTGTAGTCGGTGCAGACTGCAACCTTGAAGCCCCGTATGAACTATATATAGTCCAAACTCCTAGTAACCCCCCTGGCAACCCCTATAATCCATAATAGTCCCCTTTGTAATCCCCTGTATTTAACTCCACTGGAAGGAGTTTAGATGCCAAACCATAAACCCTGCGTAGTAGTTTCCATTTTATTTTCCATTATCCCAATATACTTCCAGAGCTTGAAAGGCTTGACATATTCCAGACAGGCCCTCAGTTTCCTTGTAAACTTCACGAACTCCACAAACTTCCTGTGAAACCGCCTGGGACTGGTTCCCGCGCTGAGAAATGTCGAAGTACCCAGAGCCTCAAGGGTGCGGGAGGGTGCATGTGCTTCGGGTTTGAGGAGGTAGCGCACTGCATGTAAACCAAACTTTGCATGAGCTGCAAACACTCACAGCGTGCACTTCAAAAGAACTTTCAACACTTCAACCCTTGACACTGCTTATGGACTCCCATCTCGAAAAAAAACAAACGAGGCCGGCTGGGAGGCTATCACTCATTTCAGAAAACATTAGCATCACCCCTGCAAGGGACTCAAGCCCTCATGCCCTTCCGACCCCTCCAAAAAACGCCTACGCCAAACACTGGGAAACTCAAAGCCGCTTTTCCAAAGGCGCGAACGCACTGCAGCATTGGCTTCCCATCTGTCTAAGATCCGTAGCGACTCAGCCTCGGACATTCAGCGACTGACTCTGGGTGTTCTTGAATTGGCGTTTAGGGTTTAGAGTTCTTGAATTGGAGTTTAGGATTGGGATTCAAGCCTTTACAGGTCATGCAAACTCTTGGGGAGCACAAGGGGGCCATGAAAGGACCACAAGCTCATGCCGGCAGAAAAAAGCCTTCTAAAATGAAGCACATGCACATAATGGCCGCTTCAACTACATGGCACTTAGGATCTCTACTAAACATTAACCTTTTGGTACCTATAATAGGTATATATGGAAATCCCAAATATTCAATGAGGGTTTAAGGTCCAAGCTAAGTGCCAAGGAGTCAACTCGTATCTCAGACTCACTTCAGCAGCCAATACAACTATACAACTATCCACGATGATGCTTCTCATATTCGTTGTAGCAACTGCCAGCATGACAAGTACAACTTTGCTTCTTGCTACAACATTGGGGGTGAATATCTGCAATATTATCTACAAAATCCTCCACGATGCAGAATACTGACATTCACTCCTCCATTCACCTTTGCTCACCCCAACCTCAACCAAAAACCAAACCCCCAAAACCCAAAACCCAGCAAGTTGTCTTGAAGACCCTAAACCCTAAACCCTAAAACCCTAAAGCCCTAAACTCTAATCATTCAACTTTTAGGGATCCGGGCCATGTGGAAATCGCACGGCTCATCCAGGTGCCTGGGTACGGCTAGGGCTTAGGGCTAGGGGCTTAGGGCTTTTGGCTTCAGAGTTTCGGGTTCATGATTTAAGGCTTTCGGCTTAGGGTTCAGCAGCTTTTTGGCTTGGGGTGGAGGATTTACACTGGAAAAATTGTAGATTCAGGTTCTCTTCAAGGCGTTCAAGCACTGGAGAACTGTTCCTTACAAAGCCACGCACTAGAGTCTCAAGAGCCCGGAGCACTCGGTAAAGGCAGATCCCTCAACGAGTGCATGAACTCTCGTTGGTGCACCCTTTCTGGCAGGACAATGCAGGATGCGCACATACAAATCCTTATCATAGTGTCTCCCAAAAAGGGGGCCCTACCTGGACCATCTCCCTATATACCCCTAAATGAACTTTATAAAAACTCCATATACCCCAACACAAAACCTATGAACCCTTTACAATGTAGTATACAACCCTGTATCAACCTAGTAACCCTGAAAAAAACCTTATCTAATCCTATACAAACCCTCATAAAACCTCCTTAAAGTACCTTATGCAACCCTAATAAGCCTCTTTCAAGGGGCCCAACTTCATCAAGGTACAGAGTGTAATGCATTGACGGATTGCTGGGCGTGAAGGTCAGGCAGAGCATCCTTAGTGACCATTCGATTTAGGGTTTAGGGATTTAGGGCTTGGGGTTGGGAATTTAAGGTTTAGGGCGCATGGCTTATATCGGTGTCCTATAAAATGAGGGGGCGCTTTACGGGGGTCCCCAGAAAAGGGATCATAATGTAGGATTTGGGCCTACATTCGGGTCCCCCGATTTTGGGACACTACCGTATGGGGTTCAGGGCTTGCATAGAGTTTGGGGTTCGGGCTTTTGATTTAAGGTCTTGGTCTTAGGGTTTAGGTTCAAGGTTCGAGGCCCTCTTGCAAAAGAATATATACAGCATCTCGCCACTTCTAAGGGGGCAAAGGACAACACATCATGCCAGAGTCTCTGCAAATCACAGGCAGCCCTGGAATCCGCTCAGAAGTTCACACAGCTTCCCAGAGTTGGTGGGGGTGTCTCCGTACTTCAAAAACGGGGAACCTCCAGACTTGATGACGGTTTCTACCGGGGGTATCTTCACCAACTCTCGCATATGCCCATCAAACCCGAAACCTGAAACCCTGGACCGCCCATGATGAAATGCTGGCCAAGCTGCGCCCGTCTCAGGATCTGTTTGTACTGCCCCTGCGGACAATCACCAGCTTTGCCGAGCTCATTAATCATCTCCACTGACTAAATCCGCAAATCCATAGCCGTCAATATATTGGAGTTGATGAGAGGAAATCTAGATGTAGATAGAATGTCTATCATTAAGGGCTGAATGTTTGCATTATTCGGAGAAGTGATTACAACAAAAATATTACGTGCATCCCCACAGCCGCTCCCACTATGAACATGTACATCCACATCATCAACGACATGAGGCAATAAGGTTCAATTATGGCCTCTGGGGGCACGTGTGATATTTGAACTTTGCGACCAAGGTAAACGCGAGGTCTACTGCAGGCTAAGGATATTCGAAGACTTCGGGTTTGGGATTTGGGGGCCAGTGTAACCCAATGAGGGTCCCGCAGATAGATACCTTACAGTTACAAACAGACACCCTACAACCCTAAATCATATACCTTAAACTTTGAACCGTAAGAAACAATCCTAAACCCAGACGCTAAACCGTGGTCCCCGTGCGGGCCTTTGTACTTGCCAGCCGCAGACACATGTGCCCTGGCATGGTGGCTGCGTCAGGCCTACTGCTCTCGGTTTAAGGTTGTGCCCGGATGTAAAAATACTATTACACCAGTGCCGGCTCTCTTTACATGAAAATGATCAGCCGCATGAACCGGAAATCTGAACGTGTTCTGCGCGACGCGTATCAACACCTTTCTTTTGACTGCCCACAGACTTGGAATCATTGCAGATGGACCAGCCCAATGTACCCTAGGGAATAAAGTTATCAAGCCAAGGCACCGAGGGTATTATGGAAAAAAGTAACTTCACATTCCCTAGACGTAAACTAATTCCTTTGGGGGTCTCAGACCAAGAAGAAGATGTCCAAAAATGATCCAGTCTAGACCCTTCAGCTCTGCGACGACAAAGCCACGAACCCTTCAATAAAGGACCCTACAATAACCCTGGGAAAGTGGTTGGATGCTATTTCTCGGGCCCTAAACCCTAAACCCTGAACCATAACACTACAAACAGGCGAGAAGGAACGGCACAGATTTCCGCCGGAACAGGCGTGGAGCAACCTCCACTTTTCAGGTTCGGCTCGAAAGGTCGGAATGGGAATATAGGGTATTATATGGATGTTTAGGGACAAATACAGCAACATATAGGGGTAGATAGGGCTTACTACCTTACTACGTGTAGGGTTCAGGCACGTTTCGGCTGCCATGCGCATCCCAGCTTCTGTACATGCTGATTAAGATGCAGCGGCCGGCGCGTAGTCGCCGTCTAGATGCTGTTAGAAGCCCTCATCCCCTTGTACTGCAATCGATACTAAAAACCCTGCGACTCTAAGTATCGTAAACCTTGGGAATAATGGTACTATTGTATATTCGGGTCATGTAGGATTTTTGGTGTCAACAGTAGATGCATTAGTCCTATGGAGTCCATGCTGCCTTCGGCGGTGTGATTTGAGTCTTGCTTCATATTAGCACTTGCCTATTCGGATACCATCTCTAGCCAACACTAGTGTGGATGACCCCCTACATGTGCCCTAAGTCTTTGACTCTATCCTTATATCGTGGCAATGAATTTAATGATGGACAAGACGCCTGGGCAGTGCACTAAAGATATTGATGAGTCGTTTCAATTGTTGGGAGATGGCATGGCAGGGTGGAGCATATACCGCTAGAGAAGAACACGAAGCGGGTTTAGGGCTTAGGGTGTTGGGGCAGGCGGACTAAGTAACTATGCATTAACCGGTATACACCATGTCCTTACCCCCAGTTGCTCCCATGATTAGCCTACTTACTCAGTACCCCTGACCCGCCAAGTAGGGTTTGGCCTTGAGCTGGGGTTAAGAGGGCTTGGGATTTCGAAGTCAGAAAAGTTTTGGGAAGCCACTCTTTGCAGGGCCGCCGGGACATCCAACCGAATCTCACCATGAGAAGGTCTGTTTCCTTGTTTCAGGATCCCCGTTTGTGGGTCCCATCGCCCATTTAATGAAATAAGCTTTACAAAGCTGGAAATTCTGACAGAAACGGTTTTTTTTCCCTGAGACATAAGGGGTCGTCTGGGAAGACTGTGTGAAGACATGTAGTCTATGTAGAGTCTATGTAGGGACATGAGGAGTTTACAGATAGCTTCCGGAATCCCATAACTATTCCTTCGACATCACGGTTTTTGGTACCTCACAAGTCTTGCTAGAACCAGGCTGCCAGAATAACACTATTCTGGAGCACCCATTTGCGGATCCCATAAGATCTGAATTCCCATTTCCTGCTCCATTGCCCTTCCCACTTGAGTTTCCAGTATTCCCCTCTGTCATCCCTAGATAATCCCAATGTATACACACCCCGGCCGCCAGCCTTTGAATGATCTTGGGGATCATCATACTCTTGCCAAGCTTGCCTCGGCCACGCCAAGTGCTACCCACATCCTACTGGTGCTTCAGGGGAGTGGTTGAGTGAATATAGGTACCATTATTATAGGGGTATATATGCGGATTATATATGGTTTATTATGGGGGTCCACTCCCCCACCCTCCCTTAAGCGCCAGTAAGAGACGAACAGGCGAAGGAAATGCAACAGTCATCCGGAAGGTTCCAGGGTTGATGCTAAGGAACATCAATTAGGCTACTATGATGAGGAAACCTCATTATTTACTACACACCCATATTTTTGGTACAAAGTCTTTTGCAGTGCACACCATACTTCAGGCACATACACAAGTCTTGCCAAGGGCATCGGCAAAACATCTCGACGTGGGAATAGTCCACGATGAAGTTCTGTCACGGCTTCACCAAGAAGAATAGCACCATACCATGCGATAGGAGTTGCGGGAATCCCTGCCTGGTTGAAGTGAACTCAAAGCTGAAACCCTGCTTTGGGGCTGACTACAGTAGAAACTTTCCATCGCCTCCATACTTTACAGCCTGGATGCACTCCTCTATTTGGATTCAAATGCTGCATGAAGTAGAGAACAAAAGCATGGAGGGTTCATGTAGCCGCAAAGCAAAGCCCGTGCTTTCATCACTTGGGTTGTTCTCAAAATTATGGGCCCCTTTTGGTCATAGATTATACTACCAGAAACCCTAAACCTTAAACCCTAATATTTGGGGGATACCAAGACGGGACCCTAATTGTGGGAACCCCCGACTTGCTGCATCCACCAGTCTGCCTTGGCCAAGGCATCGATTAGCGGCAGCTTGTCCTGCAATGACTCAATGGCTGCAGGGAATCAGTGGCGCTTGCCCAGGCAATCTTTGCAAATATGACGTATTGATACACATGTGTGTGCGAGGTGTGTACATCCCAGCACATCCTCAAGTCGGCTGCCCTGCGGCTGCGCAGAATAAGTCAAGACTGCAATGGTAAGTCCCCATCACAAGCTGAATGACATTGTCAAATTGTTCACCATGCCTCTGCAAGTACACAGCACCAATGATCTCCCAAGGTTCCATGGGTATGGGGTCAGGCAAAAGCATTTCGTTCAACGGCACTGATAGACCTAAGCCTTAAACCGTTAAAAGCAATGACATCTCTGAAAGGACTATAATGGGGACCCCAAACAGGGAACCCCAAGAATGTAGTAGGAATATGTGCGAAATATAAGGACCCTGGTGAGTACATTCAAGTCCCTTGAAAAATCGTCTTGTCTATGAATCAAGTCTCCTGGAGCGCATCGAAGACTGGAATCAACAACCTTGCGTCTCCAGGGTTTGCTTTCACGGGCCAATTTGGCAGCTTCAAGAAAGAGAGCTGAATACTATAATATCCTTGTTATGGGGACCCCAAAAAATACCCCCTAAGTTTGGGAAACGCCATTTAAGCGTTGGGTTTTGTTTTTTCCCTGGGCACTCTTTTACGGTCTGCACTTTTGGGGGTTCAGGGTTCGGGGGAGTGTGTCCCCAAACCTCCAAGCCATGAATATCCAGATGGGGTTTTATACAGTTACATGCGGTACTATCGCGTCATATAAAAGTTATATGGGGTTATATAAGGGCATTGGGGGGGGCGAGGGGGGGTAAGGATTGTGGTTTAGTGGCCTAACCGATTTGACTCTGGAGGATCAAATGGAAAATGACATGGAAACTGGGTTTCTGGAGGAATCTGTAAGGATTTTAAACTGTGAAGACCTGAATAATTGCCAATGTGGTTTTCACACGGTCCAGGGTTCTATTTGAAGTACAGTACCCCATACCATAATTGTAACTCGATATAAGACCATACTCTTGGGGAATATTGGGGATTGTTGAAGGACCTATACAACCCTACAAAACATGTATAAGCGTATATAGCACTGTATGATTCCACATTGCAAAACCCTACATAACCCTATGTAATTCAAAATAACCGCATGTAACCCCCTCTATAACCCTATATAACCCTACATAACCCTCTATCACACTCTATCTTCCCTGCATAATCCTATATAACCCCCTAAACCCTAAACCCTAAACCTTGCATAATCCCATTCCTCACACGGGGGATTGTCAAAATTATGGTTCCTTCTTGGGTCCCTATTATAATACGGGGCCTAATACGGGGCCTAACTTAGGGGACCCAAAATGGGACCATAATTTTGACAATCCCTCAAGCACCGTTTAACACATCGAAGCTAAGGCAACGGCACGGCTTTGTCCAGGCGAAGCCGGATCTTGCACATCTCTCCGCGAAGGACCAGCCTTCTTAGGTGTTACATAGGGTTTTTAAGGGTTTTAGGGTTTTGGGGTTTTCGGGTTTTAGGGTTTTAGGGTTTTAGGTAGGGTTT